GACTGTGGTGACTTGTCAACATTGCAGGCTCTGCCCCAAGTGAGGTCTCTGATGTTTAGTCACTTAGAAAATGTGAGTCAAATCACTGGACAAAAAGACAAAATGACAGCAGAATTATTTGAAGCTCTAAACGTATACCACATTATGGCAACTGCTATTATGGATATAAAAGCTCTCATAAGCACATATAATTTGAAAAATGTAATTTCTCTGGAAGTTGCAAAATAATCAGTCTTGGTTTTCCTGAATGATCATTAAATGCAGAATTCTTATAGACACCATTGAGATTGAATGTCCTAATGAGTCTTCAAATTATGTTGATAACATTATGTAATCAGAACTAAAGAAAGCCTGTAAATTATCCCCTAATAAATGGTCTGACTTTTGGCTTTCTCTGTGCTAAAAGGATATCATTGCTCCAGTAACATAAAGTGTCTTGCCTTATATCTTATCAAGTTTCCTCAATTACGTGACTGCAGCACTTTCCCTGCAAAACTTAAATTTTCCATCCTTTGCTATGTGGCCTTTGGCAGTCAGTAGGTACTTGCTTGGAAAGAAGTGTCACTTTCCCCAAATGGAAATATCACCTACCTTTATAAATCTCAGGATTGGGAGTAAGGCTGGGAGCTTGAGCTGACTCCTACCTATTTCTAGCATACATTATATGATTGCCCAATACCCATCTTCTCTGTCTCTTTTGTAAACTATTGAAATCATTTAAATTTTTGTAAATATATGTATAAAGATACAGTTGACCAATTCTTTAGTCCGGCACGACTGCAGGAATGATTGGGATCATGAGTAAGGAGTCAAAGTGCTGCTGTCATAGTTAAAAAAGTTATGGAACATTTCCCCCAAAGAGCCACAGAAGGACTGTGAGGTCTACTACAGTGCTGCTTGTCAGTACCTTGGGAAACAGGTCACCTGGGAATTGAAATTAAGACCTGAAGGGTGGCAGTTAATTAGTAGGTATTTCTGCCTTTCTGAATACCAACCATAACAGCAGCACTCTGACTCCTTATTCATGATCCCAATCATTCCTGTAGTCATGCCAGACTAAAGGATTGGTCAACTGTATCTTTATACATACATTTACAAAAACTTAAATATTTCAATAGTTTATGTTTTGTGGGGGGTCTTTAAGATATTAAGCATTGATTCAGCTAATAGATTTAGAGCAGCACTGTTTATTAGGAATATATGCAAGGCATAGTTCTAATTTAGAATCCCGGTTGCCATGTTTAAAAAGGAAGACATAGCAGCTAAAATTAATTTTAACAATGTCTTATCAGGCAGATATAGATTGGGTTATAATGTATTCAAACTAATACATCAACCATGTCACCAATATTTTTAAAGCTATTATTGAGATATTTTATCTACATTTTTTGTACCAAGTCTTATAAATCTGATGAATTTTCACAGTCCATCTCAATTCAGATGCAAAATTTTAATCAGAAATAATAAATAATGCTGTGTTAAGATTTCATAAAATTTACATTTGAAAAATTAGATTAATTCACACACTTAAGCTGTTCTAAATAATAACTGAATTATTATATTCTAAATTTAATCTTACAATAAATTAAATTAAAAATTTGGCCCCTCAGGTACACTAGTTATATTTCAAGTGCTCAGTGATTGTGTGGCTAGTACCACTCTGGCCTAGACACTGAGTATCTACTGTGTGCACCATTGCAGCCACAAACACACCTGCTTCCCCAGGTTGGGGGGAGGGATTATGAGAAAGAAATATACACAGCAACAATATCGGGCAGGTTATGATACTTTCTAAACACAGAAAATGGAAAGTACTCCAAGGAGAGAAAGAGATGCTCGAAGGAAGGCTGGTGGAGAAAGGGGACAAGGGATTTGTTTGCCATTTTGTACTTCACTATTGCTTGAACTTGCAAAAGAGAACTTTTAAAAAGATTTTTATGTTTAAAGGAAGACAAAGAAAATGGTAAGCTATGTATTCATATATCCAGCAAAAATGACTGGATATATGACTGAAAATATAATAAAATATAAATTCTCTGGGCCACTTTTATGTTCTTATTTACAAGTTTTTTTATATCTCAAAGTAAATATGTAGTCAGAATCTGTAGTCAGAAATAAATTATAAAGAAAATAATCTGTAATACTGAGGGTAAAATCAATTTTAAATCTATTTGCAAAGTCAAAGGGTTGGGATTCTTTAAAGATGTCTGGACCTGGTTTCTTTTACTTTTTGGGACTCACACTTACTTTTATTGCTGCTGAAGCTATTTCCACATTTAAAAAAATGATTTCCATCCAAGGTGGCCAAAAAGGAAAATCGAGGCCAACCACAAGGCAAGCATTCCTCAGAGAAGACAAAAAGCCTCTGTAACCTGCAAATGAAAACTTCACTAGTAGAACGTGATCTTTTGTTATGAATGACTTCAGCTGCTGGTGGACAGACATTCTTAATGAGAACAAAGCACATGGAGTGATTTTGCTGCTTTCATTGTCCAGTCAGGCTAAGCATGCTAGTAACTTTATATTATAATGGTGAGAACAAAGAACAAGGTGTCCCATTCACCACGGAACTTCTGCAGCAGACGTTCCTGAGCCTTTGCAGTCTTTCACTGAAGTGGAAAGGAGAAAGAACTCTCAAGGAGTGTGAGCAGGTAAATAATCACCAACCATATAAATAATGCCACAAAATGGGTAAAGAAATGAAAAGATGAAATGAAATGATCATTCACCAATAGAAAGATGTGCACTAAATCAGGGTTTTTTGTTTTTTTTTTTTCCTGTCTGAGACTGTTGTTTTTACTGAACAGTTAAGCAACCAAGGAAATACCAGTTGGGTCTTAAAGACAATTTATAGCTGGGCTGCTGGCCTCATTGCACCTGGCTATGTTTTGACAGCAGGTTTCGTCAGTTTATAGCAGAGATTCTTGTCTACACCATAAGCTGTCACTAATGCACCCAGACCTTTGGAAAAATGTATTGCCCAAAGGCAGATCTCTCCTTTTCAAATGTCCCCTCCCCCCTTTAATGAAAAGCAAAAGCCTCCTGCTGGTGGTAAAGCCTTCTCTTCTTCAGGGGAAATCACAGAGCCTCCTGGGAGTGAACAGGGTCAACCCCAGTGCTACAGCACTAGTGGGGTGTGCCTGCTTCTGGGCACTCGATTAAGGACTCATTCTTTTCCCTTCCCTCAGGGCTCACTGCTGAATACAGCAGCCTGTTGTTCTGGGCCAGGAAATTCTGGAGTCTGCTCTCTGAGCTCCCAACTCTAGCTTCCAGGCTCTGCTAAGAATGTCTGGGAGTTTTGCTGAAGTCTGGCTGTGGAACACAAGGCAGGTGGTTTCAGCAGATGCTCCCTTCCCCCCATTTGAAACATGAAGGGCAAGACTTGGCTATTTAGGATCAGACAAACCTTAACTCCTTAACTTTGCCCGCCCTAGGACAGTTAATGGCCTAGTATGGAAGCCAGTCTTAGAAATCACAAGCTCTCATTATAATATACATGGCTTGAAAGGCCTGCTTCCCAGGACCAGACACTACCTCTCCCCACCTGTCTTGCTGGCTTTATAGGACCTAGGATTTTTTTTTGCTTTTGCTTTCAGTCTCAAAAGGATTGGGTCAAACAAGTAACTTTTAACGGGTGACACACATTCCTCAACCAAAGGCAGGATGTCCTTTTTAGGAATGAGTTAATGGTGCCTGGTGGCAAACATTTCCCCTTGTATGGTAGAAAAGGACAAAGATGTGAGTAGAGGGAAGAAAAGGTAATGGAGAATGGCCCCTCCTATTCCTTAATTTCATGGTTCACAGACATTCATTGACATTCAGACACTCCCAAGGGGAAGCTCATATAACCAGGCATGAAACCAGACTAACAGGGCTGCATGCCTGGGCGCAGGGCAGAATTTCTCACCACCACTGGGGTCCACTCCCAGGCACTAGGACCCACTGTGAAGGTCTACAAACTGCCCAAACTGGAAAAGCTTTAGGCCTGCAATATCCTTTGACTTGCCCCGCCTGGGATACCACCCTTGGACTCCCTAGGTTCCAAGCTCTATGGGTGTAAGGGGTGTCAGCATTCAGGCTGCTGAGGAGGGTCAAGGCTACCATCAGGCTCCTGAAAACACAGAAGCTGGAGTGGAGAGGAGAGAAGTTTCTAGGCCAGGTGACTCTACAGGCCTAGGTTTGCCTAGGTTAGTATCTCTCCCTCCTAGGTTTGCCTGGTTAGTATCTCTTCCTCAGATTTGTCTATGAGCTGAAAAAGAGGGAGAGAAGAAAACCTCTAGTCAGGTGGGTCCTGGTCCCTGAGACAGAAAAATGCATCTGAACAACTCATACAGATGTGAAGGTCGGCCTGAGACTAGGATGCAAAATCATAGGAGAAGTGGAGGGGAAATGATGGAGAAATCATGGGTAGGACAGGTCTGAGGAAACTGCAGGAAGCCAGCTCACTTGTCTGGCTCAATTTGTTGACCTTGAACTGTTGCTGGGCTATACTACACAAATTATACACTATTTTATAAAACCTCACTTGACAAAAGTTCAGTGTTGGCCAGCAACAGGTTATATGAGGTAGTGGCCAGATCCCCACACTCAACAACTGGCAGAAAAGGGGTAGAAAGGCATAATTTTTTTAAACACAGGGATACTTCAAAACAGTGAAATGATTACTTTTATGTATTTACATGCATCCCATCCATGTATCTGTCTATTCTCCTACACAAACACACACACATATATACCATTGTATATGTATGTATGTATACCACAGGCATACGCTATATATATATATATATATATATATATATATATATATCGTATATATATAACATATATAGTTATACAATATATATAACATATATCTCATATATATGTAACACATATCATATATATATAATTGTTACATATATATACATGTATATATATGTAACAATTATCATTGATATATCAAGTGATAAGCTTTACTATTTCCCACAGACTCTCTAAAGTGGTTTTCTTGAGTGTACCTGTGGTATTCCAGAACTCTCCAGCCAGTCTTGGAAGATGTTTTCAACAGACAATTCAAGCCTTTAAAAATAAAACAACAAAAAGTAAAGAATTAGAAAGAGCTCTTATGACACAGAATGGTTCTCTAAGTACACAGGTATGGCAAGCATCCACCTTCTACCAAGTACCTGTTCTCTGGAGAAGGAGCAATGCTAGCCCAGGTTAAAGTGTGGTCAGGACCCTGAATACACACGATGGGAACTCAGTATCAGAGGCCTACCTCTATAAGTGGCGGTAGCACCTTGAGAAGAGCTTTTGGTTGGGAATGTCAATTCAGGGAGTACAGGGCAGGGTTAGTACACATAAGAGGCAACTGCTTTCTGAGAGTAGTGGGAGTAAAATGCAAAAATCCTAGCCTCTCATAGCATTCAAATGAAATTCCAACTTTATAAGGAAACAAGTCCTATGGGAGCACAAAGAGACTCAGGAGCATGGGGCATTTGGGGCTCCCACAGCTTCTGCTTCCAAACAGGCTCTCATGTTGTTTTTTATTTGAAATATTATGATTGTTAACTGTGATCCAAAGTCATCTGAAATTCTTTCAGCTTCATGCCTTACTCATTTGAATAGTCCTTAAATATGTTAAGCATGCAGTATATTTAGGATCAACAGATCACTTGTATCTTTCTGTCCTCTGTTATTACAGCTGAAGGACATCCCCTACCCCTCTTCTAACCAACTTCTGCTCATGTGCAGTGTCTATTCAGAGGCCTTCCTCAAGTCCCATCCCAGGGTGTGTGTGCTCCTCATTCCCTCTGCTCCATGCAGCCATCACAGTTTGTGACTGCCACTTATTTGATTACTTGACTTTTAACTGTCTCTGCATTACATCAAGGCTCTTTGAAGTGAGGGTCCAATTCTATTTTACTCACTTCTCTAAAACCAGCAATGAGAATACTCTTGATGTAAAAGAAGCTCCCAGAGCTAGTTTTTATCTGAATGAATGAAAACACATTTCACTATAATTAAGAAAACAGTTTTGTTTTAAGCTAATAATCACATGTGCCAGTAAGATATCCCCAAGTTGTTAAACTCTTCATTAAAAAAAAATATACGAGCCCTCCCTGGCGGGTTAAAGTACTAAGAAGCTTAAGCCACTTCCGCATGAGTTCGATCCCCGCCTGCCCCTGAGGTGACCACAGTGGGGCAGACCCCTCCTGACCTGCCCGCTGCTCCCCTCAGCAGTGTACTTTGTCACCTGTTCTGCTCCCACTCTGTCTCTGGTGAATCCTCTCACCCTCCACATCTCTGGCCTGTATCCAGTTCTTTCTGAATAAATAAATCTTTTAAAATATATATACATATTCTATATATATATATGTATATATGTGTGTATATATATACATATATATATATGCCCTTCCCTTCCTCACTCTTTATAAAATTGTTTAAAGTAGTAGTTGTGGAAAGAACGAGCTCTTGAGGCTCTAGAAGCCAAATGCTCCCTTGGCCTCTGGGTTGTGCTCCAGGCTGGGCAGTGGTGAGGGAGAGAGAGGAGAGGCCTGAGTGGGGCTGGGGAAAGGGGCTGACTGCTAATTCCTTTTCTTTTCTTTCCCAGGGGAAAGCACATCACTGGTGTGCCTTTGTCTTCCCAAGCCACAGCAAAAACAAAAATCGCTTATGAATGCAATAGAAAAAACACAGTGAGAAAGTGGCTGGAGTTCATTTTCAAGATGATGCCCATCTGTGGGAAGACCAGGGAGGCAAGAAGACTACCACCCTAAGCTGCTTATGCCAGAGTCTTCCAGGTTTTCAGACTCAGTGAAGTTACTGGAGACACCTTAGTTGAAAGGCCAGGGTACAATTCCCCATTGCTTCTTTGTAGTCATTTAACAGTGTTGACCTCAGTGTAAATAGCCAGCTCCACTCTAACCTTTGCGAGTGTGGAAACATGTGTTCATGTTCTGTGTGAGTATGAGTGTGTACACATAAGCACATGAGGTGCAGTGTGCTTGATTTCAAAGAGAGGAGGCACCCCCAAAGAACCCTCAGACCATGTTACTGTTATTACTTGCACTTGATTCATTTGGTTGATTACAAGGGGAGGAAATGCACTTACTTGACATAATCTACCTACCAGGAGCAGAACACTGGGACCAAAGGGACCCCTTAGAAAGTATCTGAGGAGAGGCCATCCCTGGTGGTGCAGTGGGTTAAAGCACAGCACTGCAAGCTAGCCACAGCCGCTTCAGTGTGACTTTGATCCCCAGGCCTAGTGGTGACCCACATGGCGAAGCAGTCCTCTCCTGTCTCACCTGCTGCTCCCCTCAGCAATGTACTCTGTCAATCTGCCTGTTCTACTCCCCACTCTGTCTCTGGTGAATCCTCTCATCACCCCTGCACCTCTGGCCTGTACTCCAGTTCTATATGCATAAATAAATAAATCTTAAAAAAAAAAAGAAAGTATCTGAGGAAACTTGATGTTGACTTATGTTGTAGTGCAATGTGTGAGGCTATAAAGTAGGGAGACTGCATAATTTCCATTGATTGTAGGATGCTCAGTGGAAGGCTTGATCTTGTTTGGAATGCATGCAGACTGTACCCAGCTTTTCTGACTGCTGGGAGGGTGGTTCATTTGGTGGGGTGAAATGTGAAGTAGCCCTGGAGAGCTCTGTTGGGCCTCAATGTTGTCTGCCTTGATCTGCTGGCAAGGACCCATTTTCTTCCCTGTCCTTCATTGGTGCTTCTTTCTAAGTGGTCCATTTATTTGTGTCCTTTCCAGACAGAGGGGCTCTGGGTCTGGAACCCCAGGGTCAAAAGTTCCTACAGAAACTTCAAACTATAGGGAGAGACTGAATCTGGATGGAATCTGTGTTGTGACATAGGAGCATGGACAGCCTTAAAACTTCTCCAACTTCAGAGAGAGATGGAGAATTGAGAAAGGACATAGAAATCCTCAGCAGTGCTGAGGATTAAAGGGTTAAGTGTGTTGGAACCATAACATTAAAGATCCTGTAGAAAAGAAGGCTGAGGAGTGACTTCATAGTCATTTCTGACTGAGTTTAGAAAAAGATGGTGCACAGCTGTTGTGCATCCCCATGGAGGAAGGGTGAATAACAGGATGGGGACATAAATTTTCTTTGGGGAATTTGAGCTTCAAGACACTTCTTTAAGTGGCATGAGGAGGGTCTGGGGAGTTGAGTCCTGGAATGTTACTGAGTGAGGTCCAACTCATTACCAAAGCATGAAGAACAGACCAAGTTTTCTGTGCATGGCAGGCATTTGGTAGATGTCAATTGGGCACAGATTCTGTGGGAGTTTGTGATGGGAAAGTCTAGGGAGTGACTGTGTGATATGACAGGCACAAGTCCTCGGGTTGCCAGGGCTTGAAGAGAGATGTGGGGCCCTGTGGATGTGAAGTGGTCCCTACTGATGGCTTTAGATGCAACAGTGGAAGGAAGACAGTGGCAGTGCATCAGGGGGGTCTTGATCTGCGTGTGGAGGAAGACCATCCTAAAGGATGGAGCAGATGAATAGAAATGGAATGAGAATGGGCCTCCCTAGGGGTTTAAGTCTCAGTGCGCTCACCACCATGGTCTGAGCTGTATTCCAGGCCAGGAAGTTGACCCATATATGCTACAGTAAATCTCTCCTGTCTTTAGCATGTGTTTCAGTGAATTGGCCAGTTCTGCTCCCTACTCTAACTCTGGTGAATCCTTTCACCTCCTGCATCTCTAGACTACACCTCAATTCTTTTATGCACAAAAAAAGTGGGAGGAAAATACATGGAGGGCAGAGGCAGGAAAGCACAGAGTCACGGGGAATAATTAAGAAAAGGAAATAGGATGTCCTTGAATATCCTGAAGTCCCATCATTTAGCCTTGGATGCATCAAGGAGGCTCTGAAACAGGGCCAGGATGACATGAACCAGATGGAATTGAGCAAAGGTAACCAAAGGAGAGGCTGGAGACAGAGAACCAAAGTGGGCTGTGAATAGTTACCATGAGTTACCATGAGAGGAGGCCTACATGGATGTGGGATATTCAAGAGGGATGACTTTGGAGGAGGGACAGAGGTTGTGAGGACAAAAGACACCACAACTCTCTGTAGGATGATTCTCCACAGCATGCACATATCTGTGTACAACCGGTGCCAGTCCACAAGCTGGACAGCTGTCCAGGCTAACTGTGAGGGTATTTCACTGCAAAGGTATTAAAGCAAACTTTGCTTTACCATATTTAGCATTTGTACACACACAAAAATACTGTCAGAGAGTAGTACCACAAAGAAAACAAACAAAAACACTTCTCTGCACTGCCAATTAAAAGCATAAAAGTAGTAGTAGCTAATGCCATTGAGTGCCTGTTATATACCAAACACTATAGACAAAATCTCACTTAAATTTTCAATGTCTGTACAAGACCAATATTAAAACCTTAGAGATGAACAAATAAATATTCTAAGAAACTAACGGACTTATCCAAGGCCAACAAGATGGAACCTAAAGAGCTGGAATTCAAGTCAAAATCACTGGGTGGCAAAACCCTGCTTTACTTTCTGTTCTGAACTTAGTCTGCACCATGCATCAGAACATGATTTATGATACAGAAAATTCTGCAGCAGGGGAAGGCCTGCATTGGCTCTAAACAAGGCTGACTTCTGCTTGCTCATCTCTTCTGCTGGAGGCAGCCGGGGCCCCTGCTGTGGTTGCCCTGTTTGTCTGCCCTCCAATTACAGTTCTGAAGAGATGGGGAGACTCTTAGGAGGGGCAAAAGTGTGAGGGCAGGAGAGTTCATTGTTCAGCTGCACTCAGGAGCAAAAGACACTCTCCCGGGAATGAAGAGAACATGTGTTTTCAGATCACTTTCCTTTGCAAAGGTTCAAAGCATCTTATAACCATTATCACTTCATTCCTCATAATATACTTGTGAAGTGGGTGTCAATTGTTGCATGGCATTTTTAGCAGATGCAGACACTGCAACCTAAGAAGACGCTGGTCAAAGTCAGTCCAGACAAAGAGAAAGAAAAGACCCAGGTTTTCAGACTTCCAATATCAATGCAGACATTAAACTGCACCAAAG